GTTAGGTTAGGTTGTGTTAGATTGTGTTAGGTTAAGTTAGGTTAGGTTAGGTTGTGTTAGATTGTGTTAGGTTAAGTTAGGTTAGGTTAGGTTGTGTTAGATTGTGTTAGGTTAAGTTAGGTTAGGTTAGGTTGTGTTAGATTGTGTTAGGTTAAGTTAGGTTAGGTTAGGTTGTGTTAGATTGTGTTAGGTTAAGTTAGGTTAGGTTAGGTTGTGTTAGATTGTGTTAGGTTAAGTTAGGTTAGGTTAGGTTGTGTTAGATTGTGTTAGGTTAAGTTAAGTTAGGTTAGGTTAGGTTAGTTTAGGTTCGGTTACGTTAGATTGTGTTAGGTTACGTTAAGTTAGCTTTAGGATAGGATAGGTTAGGTTAGTTTAGGTTAGGTTAGATTAGGTTAGTGTTAGGTGTCTAGTTTTACCTGGAACAAACTATTTTCGATGCATTTAGATAATTTCCGGTATTATAAATAAAACACGTACATTGGAAAGTTTGTATTTTATACAACATTTAACGGCGTGAACTGTTAAAATGTTAAGTCATATACAGAAACCACGTACATGTTGAAAGTTAAAATGATGTGTTAAAATATCATTTATGGTTCTGGATGTGCTGATAGGCAATTTCTACGTATATGTTTCAGTATATATGACAGGCTTTTTCGTTTCGATGGGGAACTTTCTGCACTCTCTGGTTATTGATTACTGTTATTATGCGTTATGTATGCGTCGTGTTAAATAACTCAGCTGAGACTTCAGTTGTCCCATTTGACGGAGACTTGTATCTCTGAAACCAAGCTTCTCATGACATATGTTTAAAATTATCTACTTACTTTTGAAAAAGGATTCTCGCTATGGAGAGCTTGTGTTCTGACTTCGTTTATTGATAAAGTCCTCTGAAAATCCATTGATTTTCGATTAATAAATCGATAATTCGTACTTTCGAGAACGGTGGGCTTGCAAGTGGATATTCAGATGCATCGTCTAGAAAGCAAACATTTTGTTTAGGAGCTTATGGTTGTTTAAGTTGCCAAGAAATTCGACTCGTTTCTGTGAAACGCCAAGGTTCATGGCTGTGTTCATAGGTTCGCGTCGTTCGTTTTTATCCTGAGACTGACGAAATAGATACGCAATCTCACACGTTATTTCTTAAGACCGATTTTTCTCATCGGCCGTCTTTGCCTCGTAAGTGGTCTATTCAATCCACCGTTTCCTACAAACTTCTTGTCTTTCCCTGCATGCTACATGCTTACCTTATCCTCCTCGATTTGGCCACTTTCAATATTTAATAATGATTATTTATTATATTAAAGCATTCCGATTTTGAACCATGTTGTTTTATTAATCAATACTTCCATTTATATAATTTTTATGGCATTGTGTTTCGACATATGTTTGTCATCTTCAGTCCGCTATTTTAGTATTCTAAACCCACAGAGTTCGATTTTTTCTTAAACATACTTAAATAACTTGAATTAAGTATGTTTTTATCATTATTATTATTGAATTTTTACTGAATTACGCTATCAATTTGATCTCACGGTCGGTTGTGGAAATTCTAGATTAGTAATGATTAAGAGGAACATGTTTATTGAAGGAGTAGAGATTTTAAACATATTTTCTCAGAGATCAAGTCTCACATAATCTCTTTTTCTGGGACGAGTGTATACACGACACAGGCGGTCTCTAAGTTTTCTACCAGGCTGGCAAATCTCCAAAATTTTCCCGATTTTTTTATCTTTTACCAATCATATCAAATGCAACCAAATTAAGTTAAACAGTGTGTATTGTAAATCTCAAGTTTATGTTAATAATTTTAAAGATGACAATATTTCAACAGAACTGCGCGATAGGTGTCGAACATTTAACCAAACTTTACATCTGAAAAGTTTTGGGATATCTGCCCGGCTTGCTGGGTAATTCAGGGTTGCGTCCTATTATAACAGCTGACAAATCATACGTTCATGTTTGTTTTATTTAATTTAATTTATTTAAGTAGTTTGCCATTGCCTTCTTCTGTGTGTGAATGGAGTAATTGCTGGGATGCCACGGAGGAAAACTCCGTGTTGCCTAGACCACGGCCTTGCCCAACACAAGTTATAAATTCGGGCACCGCCGGGAATCGAACCCGAGACCCCAGGATTACAAGGCATGACAAACGCGCAGGCCTTCCCATTGTTAGACGCTTCTGGTGGATTTATTGGACGGATTATTCTCTGCGTTATTGTTATTCAAGACGATTCAGTAATGAAACGCATTATGAAATCATTACTCATAATAATTACAAATACTTTACAGACATCGTTGGCTTTCAGTGGTAATCAATTGTAAAGCTGAATTCAGTGTTGTAATTTCTTAGACTTACGCCGATGGGGCAAAATTATTTTATCCGCATTTGAAATAAAGGTTTATTTTCTTGTACTCTGTGTCTAGAGATTGTCAGAAGGGAGAAAAAACTTCTCCAAAGTAGAAATCTTTCCCAAAATTTTGTTCGTGTCACTGCTTTATAAATGTTGCTGATTTGTCTCTGCTGAGGGATAATTCAAGACGTTGGTTGTCTTAAAGTATTCCCAGAACGTATGTTCTTCTATCGAAATTAATTAAAATTCTAAAGAAAGTCGACACTTTCCTAAGCCTCTAACACTGACCGCTGGCGGTCGCCCGGGACACCGTCCATCGAAGTCTAACCCTATTTCTCGCTCATAGATTCCGCAAACAGACAATGGCTCGTGTCCCTTCGAAATTTATTGTTCCTGCCTCGGCATTTTGGTTGAATTTCATTACACGAACGGCATTTTAATGGAAGCCCGAAACAGGCTTCTTCAACCCAGTTGAAAGATGAACTCGACACTTTGCAGGCGAGTGGTCGCTTCTGACCGTTACACTAAGAGTAGGGAAGTGAAACTTGAATGTATAAGAATATTTTGATCAGTTTATTATATTACCTTTTCTCATTTTATACTTGAATCTTACATTATGATGAAATGTAATACGTTGCATTAAAATATATATAACAAAAATTGTTGGTGTTGTAGGCGAAGTTCTTAGGAACTCGATGAAGCGTCTAAATGTTCATTTAATACAATATATATAAAACCCATAAGAACTGTAAGAAATCTATAAAATTATGTGGATTTTGTAACATTATTATTTTATTTTTAAAAAGGCGGTAATTTAAACTGAAATAGAAAAAAAATTCTAAAAGTAAAATATGTCGTACGTGTCTTCCGCAAAGAATATCCCGGTTATCTGTAAATACTCCATTATTTTTGAACTATTAGAAAATAATCGATTCCAATTTTTTTCGACTCTGGAATATAATCCCAGATACGTTTATATATTTAGGTCGGTTAAGACTACATGCTTTTGCATAGAAGTCGCCTTAATTATTGCATTGTAACACTTCGTTTGGGACGGTAGTTCCTGATTATTACTTTCAAGGTCAGACGACACAAAATGTAGACGGCGCGTGATTTCTGGCAATTTATCGTCTCGCCTGTGGACACGTGAAGCTGTTAGCTTCGCCCATTTTTAAAAGTAATGTCTTCAGTAACATATTCGGCTTCAGAAATCAATTATCCCCAAGATAGACGATGTAATAACTTTTTAGTTTATTGTGTATGGTTACGAGAAAGATTAAATTCGTAATATATGAAATAAATTAGTACAGATGTTTCTGTTTAAGACTGCTTTTAATTTATTACTTTTATTGTAACAACTCTTACGAAAGAAATATCTTTGTATCTTCGGTCGACGGAATGAAAGTGTGTTTTGGCAAATTATGAGTCCTGGGGGGCAACCGTTTGCTCTGCGTGGTCCTAATTGGTATAATATGGGAGTACCACGAGAAGACCTCAAATCGTGTGCAGGAGTACGGAATTTGTTTCAGGGAAAACTGTTATTAGTGTTTTTGATGTTTTCAATTAGTTCTCAACATTGACTCGAGTGCCATAGGTTGAGAAACGCTGGTCTGGAGGTTTAACCAGACAAACAATGACTTTGACTACATAAACGTTTCTGTTGAAGCTAGCACTGGAGACAGAATGACCGAAAGTAATTTGCGATAATTTTTATGGTATTGTTTTCGTAGTAAATATCGTCGAAAGAGGCTTGTAGTTGTTAAAAAGATTCGAAGACTATAAACTTGCTCTGTTAATTAAATATGTGTATGTGTTGTTTACATCTGATAAAACAACAAATTATAATCAGCCACATTCTTCTCCTTTCTGCAGTATAAAATTTACGTAAGCAGGATTAAAAATGATTAAATAATCCAGGAATTCATCTCCGTCATGACAGCTTCACTGTGAAAATCCATCCTCTGATCTGTGACCAATTATGATCACTGACTTACACCAATATAATTCCTCCTGACTGGAAGACATCTGGTTATGCCACCCGCACAACACGTGACACGTTTATAAGTAAATTGCAGTCTCTTTTAACTTTGGACTGCAGACATTTTACGTCGATGGATGTATCACTTTTGCTTTCATTATATTATATATATATTTTAATATATTTTAAATATTTTAAATATTAAATGTTAATTATAGTAATAATATTTTAATATTTAATAAAACATTTTATTGTGATTAGACGGTTAAAATAAACAATTACAAAAAACAATTTTATTATATTCTTTTATATTATTAGTTTCTTGTTTCGAGCGATTTATTTACAGTCATCATCAGAACTTTGACGACTCTGAGCTTGAGAGTAACGTTCAAAATGTCGCTCTCATGTCTAACAGTGATCTTCTCATTCCTATTTATCACTAACAATAACTCTTAATTACGTTAATAATTGACTGTTGTGTCAATGGATGTCACTGGGAGATTTCTCACTCTCTATTCGACCTTACGTCCACTGGGTTTAGCTGCATTACCGATAAACCATAACTCCCTTATCAGTGTTACCACCTTTACACTTCTAATCTTTATATTATTTAAACGTATTTGGTTCACGTGTCTAGTGAAATTAATATTGTTCACTTTTTGTTGCAGATATAACGTACAAACCTCGACCACCCATCATTGAAGGTAAGAAAACTTACGTTAAGTGTACTAAAGCATTTTGACATCTGATAAGTGGTTCCCTCTGGATGGAAGTCCTATTTTAATACGTATAAAGTATCTGACCTTAAACCATCACTTCAATGAGTACAATTATGTGTCTTATCGTCATTATATGCCACACTATTAAGTGATCAAACGATTATTTGTTCACAGATGGCAGTAATTTTATCTGTGACCTGTTACAAACATTAATTAAGTCTAAATGAACCCAGATTTTAAACATCGACGCATAGACAACGATTTCATTTCTGGAAATCTGGGTTTTAAGTGATTGGATAAGACTGCATATGAACTTGAACTCATATTAGCCGCGTAATTTTACGAATTTTAAGTGAAAGACAATTTTTTAAAGGATAATAATTATAAAACGTCTCGGTTGGTCACTGCGTTTACTGTAGACTGTAAAAGCTTTGTAAAATGCAACTTTTGTTATTTGAAACTTTGACGTATATTTTATGGATTTATGGAGCGAAATTCATGCGTCGTGATGAACTTGAAATACAGCTATTTGTTTATATATTGTGTATCAGAGAACTTGAGAGATCCATGCTGTGCCATTTCACGATTGAAAAGAGTGTTTCATTTGTATGCATGTGATATTAGTTACAGACTGAGACCCTCTGGGAATATGTATATTCTGAGTGTTTCATTTATATGCATGTGATATTAGTTACAGTCTGAGACCCTCTGGGAATATGTATATTCATAAATCAGTGACAGTTCCAAAATGAATAAAACTTTCATATCTACTTCGTTTGGATATCCTCCTCTGTTCGTTGAACATGGAGAACCATCGTGAGTTTTCTCCAGATAAAATTCCTTGGAAGGAAGAGAATATATCATGGATAGTTAGAATGCTGATAGCTCAGCCAGTGTATTGTCTCACTGCAACCGGGGATTGATCTCGGACGTGGGGAAACAGGTTTTTCGTCTATCCGTGAGTCCAAATCTGCCCTGGGGCCTACCAAAGGCTGTCTCTAACCAATCGCCCTCGTCCACCGTCGATATGCGCATAAACAGGAATTGAAAACCTCACCACCCAAGCGTCTCCATGGCGTGTATTGGGATTATTTACAGTAAAGTGCTTTGAACTATCCGCATTGGACGATGAATAAGAATATATAAGAATAATATTAAAGCTGGAGATGGAGATGTTCTGGGTGTTTGGATAGGATTTGACAGCCTGTGGTTATTAAACGGTGATCTTTTGAAGTGTAGCGTTGGTAGAAATCGGGGTTATAACGTGATTATGTTTGATTTGTCTCGCTATTTACGAGAATGCAGATGTTTGTGTGCTGAACTTTGCCTTCTAAAGTGTGATGTTACGTATACCCAGCCTTGTAAGGGGTACAAAAGAGGAAATTATGTACCGTGTTCAGTGTTTAACGAAGTTTATCAGGAACAAAAGTCTAACAAGTTCAGAAGATGATTATGTTTAGATAGGGTTACAAACAAAACGCTGTTATAGCTCATGGAAGTTATGTAGACAGCCAGGAATTGTGTTGTCGCCGCTTAGCTAACCTACCCGGCCTAAAGGACGCGAGTTTCGTTAAAGTAATGGTTGCTGCTGAAATATCAGTTACATAACCAATGGCCTTTTAAGGATCTCCGTAGTCACACGTTAATGACGACGGCTGGAAATAATTTGATCATCAGTGCATGCTCTGTTCTTTTCCCAGGGAAACAAATGGAAACATTCCACATGTAAACCTCGCATTTTAATTAATGACGCACCTGATTGGCTGGCTACAGCTTTCCATTCTGCGTAATGAGTGTCATGTTTCTAACCCTTACGTTCAGATGTCGTTAGTAACGTGAACTGATGAGGTCTAATGATGTTTTTCTGTTATGGGTCTCGACGCCGCGTTCGCTCTCAGGTGGACATCAGCGTTTGGGAGGAACCTATGGTCTCCATCTTCAGGACTAAACTTTATTTTGTTAGCATCAATTGGTCATATAATCGCTTGAATGTACTGAATACGAGGTGCGATCGAAAAGTTTCTAGACTGCGCCTATAAAAACCCGTACACTTATCTCAGGTATTAAATTCATCCATCACCCTCGAAATAGTTCCCCTGGGAGTGAACACAACGATCCACACAAACGTTTGCGGACTCCCCAAATGCTTGCTTTAGCATTTCATAGGTTTCCGTAGCCGTTTTGGCGAGTCTTTGGCAAAATTTGATGCACACGCCATTCCGAAATCGCAGGAGGGTCGGTGTAATGCACTACCAAAACGCCCGTAACTAAGAAACAAATGCTAATTCGATGATGCCGGCTGGCACACTGATTCACTATGAATGTAGGCCGCACCCCCTAGCGGCAGAAGCTCGTACTACATCCGGTTCGCCCGCTATTGACACAGTCTTGAAACTTTCCGATCGCACCTCGTATCGTCGTCTTGTTCGGTCTATATCTTGGATATTGTCGTGGTTATATTAATTATCTCATAATAGTATAATCGTAATCAAATATGAGAGACGATAATTCACTCTAATAATTATTACGTCTTTTCACAATTAACGTACAACTTTACCGGCTATGATTTATTTTTCGGCAGATCTTAAGGTGGTCCAGCACAGGCTGCTCTCCCTGGGGACGGCACGACCACCCCCTTTATCTTCAGTTTGTTTGTTTGTTTGTTCCTTTAAGTAGTTCAGGAAGTCAGAGAATGTTTTGTATTCTGTCGAGTTGAATTCCTTCCTGTTTATGGCAGAAATATTCATCTCAGATAAATTCCAGTAATTATGTAACGAAACCAAATTAGCCTCTATCGAGAGAAATCAATAAACGTGGAAACAAATTATTGTTTATCTTTCCCGCTTGAATCACGATGAGATATGTCCTGTTTGAAAATCCTGAATAATAATCCTAATAATTTATTACCAGGATGGTCACGAGACGATTAGGTCGAAACAATGTTAATTGCCCTCTGTAACAGATCGTACGGCGTTGAATGATTTTGTAAAAGCAGCCTGGATCAAAATCGGGTTGCTACATCCATTATCAAAGCATTAATGAAGGAGGCATCAATTACCTCCGAGACGTCAGCGGATTTATACCGGATTAAACGTCTGCAAACCCAGGAGACAGCCGTGAAAGTCTTACAAGTTCTTTCGGATTTGCTGATGATTCATCACGATCAACTTCATGGTTTCCGTGTTTGTGGGTAATGACTCTGCAATCGAATGCGCGCGCAGAGACGGAAATGTAGATTTTTAGTTTTTTGCTCTGACGGAAGTAATGCGCGCTAGCGCCATATTGTAATGCACCCTAAAATATGGCAAGGATACAAATGCTCCGGATGTATATGTAATGAGTTTGTGTGTGTTATTTTCCATTAAAGTTTCACGACCATCGACATTGCTTTGAAGAACACACACTTATTTTAAAGGAGAACTGCTCAAACATCATTGATATAGAATTACGTAAAATATACGAGAAATTGCTATGAATTTTTAAAACGACGATCAAAACTCTTATATGAACGTATTTTTTATTCCCGAAATGATCTTATCGCAAACGTTTAACAGTGTTGTTACGCGATATGTCCTTGAAGATGGCACTACGGAGTCGAAACGTGGAAGGGTCATGAGAATTTAATACTTCGATGTGACATAAATTTATATAGTCGCCGTATTTGACATAAGGGTATCGAATTTGCCTTGGTCACTGAAGCTCTGTTTCGACTTAAAAATGGAAGCCCTTCGTCTGAGCTGCACCTGTTGCTTGGATGTCGTGGACTTTACAACAAAACGCAGGTGAAATTGGGGATGGGGTTGTTTGTGAGGTGGGGGTGGGGGTGGGGGTTATATGGTTCAGGACATAGAGGAACGACAAGCTACGCGCAATGCATTTTAAGTGGTTTGGAGCCTCCCGTGGGGGTTGTAAAAAGCCCTTTATAATACTGTAGTTACCCCCATAACGTACAGACTGCGTATTCTACAAACAATGCAGGAACTACCGAGTTAGCGTAATAGCGAGCTATGTCGCTACGTGTTCCAATGTGCACTTTGCTGTAACACCTCTCCCAGGTTTAAGAGTCTAGTACTGAGTTTAAGATGGAGGATATTAATAAATTCCGATTTCCTTAACAAATATACAGGGAATCATCATGGAAACTTAGACACGCCTAAAACTTGAACGTAGTTCAACGAATTCACGTATTTGTGTTCATCTTTAATACGAAACTTAATTGTTCTGTCATCTTCGACACAATTTGCAAGTCTGCATCCTTAGCAGCGGATAGGCCGTAATAATAATTCTTGAAACATCTTCTCTAAAATTACTCTCCTAAAATCAGTCTCCCACGAAATTTGCAGTTTGTATTAGCGATTTTAAAACTTTCTTGGATTTAAAAAAATAACAAATAATAATATCAGTTATGATAATAATAATTCGGTTAAGTTTTTTATTAGTGTTCGCCAACTGCGATGAACCTTTAACAGGTAAACACTAATAAGAATGGAAAAATATTCAAAAACAAAGATTAAACTAAGACAAATAATCAGTCTAGATAATCTATCAAGAAAGTGTTACTCAAATGAGGCAATGCTTAAGCTAAACTCGTCTCAAAAATTCTTACAGCATTTGACTCACGTGACTTAATGACTAGGTTTGGAGTTTTTTTTATTTATTTAGTGTTCTGTCTGACGACAGGTCCATATGAACAGGATCCTTCCATCCTTTTCTCGGACTGGGACCTGTTCATATACGTTCTTGGCAGATGATCCAGAAGTGGTTTGCCATTGCCTTCTGCTGTGTGTGAATGGAGTAATTGTTGGGACGCCACGGAGGAAAACTCCGTGTTGCCTAGACCACGGACTTGCCCAACACAAGTTATAAATTCCGGCACCAGAAGTGGTTTGCCATTGCCTTCCTCTGTGTGTGAATGGAGTAATTGTTGGGATGCCACGGAGAAACCGGGGAAGCCCCCGGAGGAAAACTCCGTGATGCCTAGACCA